TCCGTGTGCGACCCGGGAAGTTTCTAGAGCCGATACTTGTCGGTTTCTGCGTGGGCTTCGCTGACCCGCGGCCGGGGCTTCGCGGGTCACGGGCAGCGGGCCTTTCCCCGCAGGGTGAGACTCCCCGGGGAGTTTGCATCTGGTCCGTTTTGCACTCTGGTAAATTCCAGTTTTCCCCACTATTTTCTGACACTTGGCGTAGTTCCCCGTCTTTGCACAGTGCCGCCGGCTTTCTTCCCTAGTTTTGAATCGGTCCCTCAGCCTCAGGATGGGGTCCCAACCCCTTTTATTTCGAAATACCAACAAGCAATACTCTATTCCTACCCTACCAAACTGTCCGCTTCCTCCAAAGCAAACTTATTACCCGGTTTGTCTTTTCGGCCCGGAAACAGACTAATTGGAAATAATACCACATTCTCCCTCAAAAACAAAAACAAAAAAACCAAAACACAACTTTTCCCTCGTTCTTTCTAAAGTCTGCAAACGTCCCGGAAGAGAAATTCGAGACAGAGAGAGGGTACAGCAATGTCCAATCCACGGGACTTGGTGATGAAACATTCATCCAAATTCGTTAGCCACTCCGGGGAGTAGACGGGACCGGCAGGCGGTGACTGGACCCGGAGAGGAGAAGGGGCCCCTTTGCGCCCCCTCCCTTTTCTATTTAAACTGATGCAAGGCTTTCAGCCAGTCACGGAAGGGTCATCCGCTTCCTCGGGTCAGGCAGCCCAGGGTGGGTGTCACAGGAACGGTTAGAAACAGTTATTTTTAGTCGCCCCTCTTGTCATTGTGTGGGCCCCACTTGCGGGTGCGGGAAGATGGGGGGGGAAAGGCGAGAAGGGGCGGTCTGGCAGCCTGCGATCTGGGGAGGGAGTCCCCCCTCGGGCAGCGAGAAGCCGCCGGGTCCCCGAATTAGACAGAGGCGAAGAGAGTGGGCTGCGTGATCAAGTGTGCGCGAGCGGCCACGCAGGCGGGAGAGCGCGGCAGCCGGGGATTTGCGGGAGCCCTCTCCTGGAACGAATGCAAGCAAAACAGGCGGCTGAGGACGAGCGAAGGATTAGGACAATATTTGCCCAACATGACGCAGAATACTGAGGAGAGCCGAGTGCCGGTCGCTAAAGAGGCTCTTGAATATAAAGTTGGGCGTTCGAGAGCTCTCCAGCGCTAATGGCGTATCCCGCCACGGAGACCGAGTGACTCTGGCTTGGCGACGCACGATTTCTGATTAAATCCGAGGGTGGCTTCAGATACCTACTTTTACAAAGAGAAATTGGTGGGGGGGGGGAGCAGGAAAGTAAGGAGTGGGCGGTAAGAACAGCTCAGCAGACTGAGCCTTTTCTAGCCTCCTCCTTTCCAATTATTCTATCTGCTTTCTCTGCTTGGGCCGCTGTGAAATCGTTGTAATCTTCCAGATCTCTGTAGCCGCGAGTCCCCAAATTGGGGGTATCGAGGCCGGATTAGTGCACTGGGTATCCCCTCAACCTTCTGTGATAAAATTGTGTAGACTTTGCATTAAGGCCTGCCTAAGTTCTCCCCTCCCCAGGTATGCCAATCTTCCTAACACACACACACACACACACACACACACACACACACACACAGTGACCCATCTTCATTACAGCAAGGACTTCTGGGACAGTTACTGCATTTCTGAGACCCAGTGGGGGTATTTTGGAGCTTGTGGTAATGGTGGCATGTGCCCTCAATTTGTCTCCAAACGAAATGAGAACGTTGAGGGTGTTTGGAAGCAAAGGGAATCCGCTAAGGGGTGGCCTGTGCTCCCTGGAGGCGGTACTGGACAGCTTTATGTCACCAACCCTTAAAATGTAAATACTTAGGTGGCATAGCCCGGGCAGCTCAAGCCAGAGCTGTAAATATCAGGAGTGGAGAGGCCTACTGATGGTGGAGTCCTCACAGCCCAGGGTTGTAGAACTGACCTGGTGGGCTATATCTGACTGACCGCCAGCGTCTTCCAGGGCAACAGGGCTGTGACCTCAAGCTATGGCCCCAGAACCATTTACCACTGCTACTAGGATCTCTAGTCTCCACCAGGACCCACTTTCTGTCCCTGCAGCAACCCACACCACAGAAAGGTGTATCTTCATTTCCTGCCGTGTAGAGTGACTCTGGGAGACAAACAAGCCACAGTTCTGAAGCCAGGGCCCTCTTCTTTCTCCCTGTTGGAGCCTTCGAGCGCTTTATGAAGACCTTGGAGAGCAGCTGTTGGAAGCCTAGGGTCTCAGCTCCCCTTCTCACACTCTAACCTAATTCTGTGTTTTTCTCCCACACCATCTTCCCTCCCTCCTCCAGTGTCCACCCCTCTTGGCCAAGGTCGGGTCAATCAGCTTGGTGGGGTCTTCATCAACGGGCGACCCCTGCCAAACCACATCCGTCACAAGATAGTGGAAATGGCCCACCACGGCATCCGGCCCTGCGTCATCTCCCGTCAGCTCCGAGTCTCCCATGGCTGTGTCTCCAAGATTCTGTGCCGGTATCAGGAGACTGGGTCTATCCGGCCTGGGGCCATCGGTGGCAGCAAGCCCAGAGTGAGTGTCTTGGCCTCTGAGGCTGGCAGCAGAGCTTCCCTAGTTTGGGGACCTTGGTTGTCACCTGGCTCACAATTTCTTGTCACCCAGCAGCCCTAAGTATCTGGACGCTCCCCATGGAAAAGACTGTAGGAGCTCCCCTTTAGCTCTCAAATACTTCCCCATTATACGAAAATTTGAAGGATGGGTTAGCTGAGCTCTAGATTGTCCAAGACTTTGAAGCCAATAATCCCTCCCTGGAATTTCCCTACATCTGCCCCCACACCGTACCTCCACCCTAGCCACAGGAACTCTCTCTTCAGTGTTGACTGAGGTGGTAAGGGGGGGGGGGGACAAAGGGTTACAAATTAGATTTTATTTCATTTCGGTACTTATCCCTGCCCCCACCGATGCCATCTTGGGAGCCAGGAACAGTTTCCTTGAAAAACCTAAAGGCCATCTTAGGAAGAAGGGCATGATAGTCACAAGATAGTGGAAATGACCCTCAGGAGCGGCCAACCTGGCTGGGAGCTTTTTGGGAAAGGGATACTAAAACTGTCCCCCCCCCATTCCTGCTATCCCGCCTCCACCCCTGAAGCAGGTGGCGACTCCGGATGTGGAGAAAAAGATTGAGGAGTACAAGAGGGAAAACCCCGGAATGTTCAGCTGGGAAATCCGGGACCGGGTGGGTGGCATCTGAGAGGAAAACAGTAAAGCATACAAGCAAAGTAGAAGCAGGCGGACCAGAAGCAAGAGGGGGATAGAAAGCAGGAAAAGGAGAGGTTCGGAGAAGGAAGGGAGGCGGGAATGCTAAAAAAGAAATTAACCTCGAAGGTAGGAGTCCCTTGAGCTTTGGGGAAAGAGATCTGGAGAAAGTGCCACCTGTCCCAGCAGGGTTGATGTCCCTGGGTGCCAACCCCCACCCCTTATTAGCACCCCTGTTTTGAAGCTCAGATCTTAGACTATGCTGCCATGAGGGGGAAAGCACTCAATCTGTACAATTGTGTGCAGGCAGGGCCAGGACACACCTGCACTGCTGCAGCAAGGGCTGGGGTGCTGAGGTTGGCTCTGGGGCAGTGGCCACGTTGTGAGTGCATGTAGGGCACCTGATGAGTGTACAAGGATGTGTACTGAGAAGCACTAGGTTGGTGCTCTCCCGGCTTACCTGGGCGTGTGTGCCTCAGGAGTGACCTAGGTTTCCTAGGCCGCTGCGGAAGGAAGCCTGACATGCCTGGGTGCCAGGGAGCCGAGAATGGGTCTCTCTGACTTTTGCCTCCTGGTCCTCTGCCCCAATAACTTATACTCTCTCTTTTGCCTTTAATTTCTGAGGTTTAGTGAGTTCGATTAGCCGAGTGCTCAGAATCAAGTTCGGGAAGAAAGAAGACGATGAAGAAGGGGACAAGAAAGAGGAAGATGGCGAGAAGAAAGCCAAACACAGCATCGACGGCATCCTGGGCGACAAAGGTAAGAACCTGCCGCGCGACCCGCGACGCTGGCAAAGACCATGTTTTCCCACGCTGGTGGTGAGGACTTGTGCGGATAAACAGCTGAGACAGCCGAAAAAGTCGCAGGGTGCAGGCGGTCAGGGTTGGGTTTTGAAAGCTTTACGGTGCGCCGCCGGTCTACCC